ACTACTACTTATACCACTATTCCTACTTAGCGGCCTTTCACTTACGCGGGGCTTCAGGGTACGGCTCTCCCGTGATAAACGAGGGAATACTGTAATTAAGTAAATTAGGTCGTTAACAGGACTGAGTATAAAGGAGAATTTTCAGAGGAGCTGAATGTCTTGGGAGTAAAAATGTGCCAAGGTTCACCATTCTTAGAAAATCTGAATCTAAAGATGCTTGAAAATTTTCAGAATAAAGTCCGCAAAAGAAAATTGTAAAGATTTTGAATATCACCTCATCTACATTTCATACTAGATTTAAAGGATTTAAAAAATCTGGAGAAATCTCTGAGCTCAAAGGACGAGGCTGAAATTCTATATTAGATGATTTTCGGGCCCTCAGGGGCCACTTAGGTCCGGTTCTGTTCTGGAATCTGTTAAAATGGTCGGAGGTGAAGAGGAGAACTATGTCTGTGCTCAGACAGATCCAAATCTGAAATTATTTTTGGAAACCACAGACGCCTCTTCATACTAAAGAGGAAAGAGACCATTCAGCCTGTTATCACAGCATAGTTCCAAAGCCTGTCTCTCTGATGGTATGTGGCATGCATTTGTGCTTCTACCACTGCTTACCCGTCTAAGATGTTTACAGCTGTTGGTAAAAAAAAAGGAAGAGGGGGTTCTTTTTTTGTTTATATTTTACACAGTGTCCCAACTTTTTCAGGACTGATGTTGAATGTTGAATATTAATCAGCTATGACAATAAATATATTGTTTACTATAATATTTAGGCACTTAAAGCTTCAGAGGAAAATAATAGTCTTACTTGAAGTTTTTTTTTTTCCCGCAAACACAGTAAAGTTTATTGTTCAATTCACTTCCAGTCAAACTGGAGGGGCTGTTTCCCCTATAAGGAGGCAGGAGCATAATAATGAAATACCTGGATATGTTGCCTTTCTCTTATTAAACGTCCACACGTTGTATGGCCAAAACTGAAAACACCAACAGAGTTACTGTCTCCTTATTGTATTAATCTTCTTCTTAATCATCCTCTGCATATAAGACAGTCCTCGGTACCTGCTGTGCCTCCAATTGGCTCCTTGTGCATAATTTTTAAACAACCATTGTTCCTTATGAGTCGTGTCTCTTGATTTGCTACATTTGACCCAATCAGAGTCAGTTTTAGAGCAAGTCGTGAGTTCCTGTTTTCTATCAATGTTCTGTGAGTGACGGCACCCCTCGGCCAAAAAACTTAGAAATACAGTAGTCCCTCGATACTTTGCGGTTCGACATTCGCGGACTCACTCTTTCGTGGGTTTTCAAAGTAAGATTGTGCACGACATACGATTGTCAACTTTAATATTACTCAAGGGATTGGGATGGTACGGGATAAAAAGTTAACGGGAGCGGGAAAAGAAATACCTTGGACAAGTGCCGCCATTTTATAGCTTTCTTTCACATAACCCCCGCGATAATCGAGGGACTACTGTACTGGTGAGTACTGGCCCACTTCGAGCACTGTCTGAATGGAGCGCTTGTAGGAGGTTTTATGACTGAAAATGGGAACCTCTACATTTACCACAGCAACAGCTCTGGACCTTCATAATGAAGATACAGATCAAGTGACCACAAACAGAACAAAGAACAAGTTGACTTCTTTTTTTTCTTTGTGTTGGTGGTCTCAACTTTGACGCACTAGCAGTAGTTTTTTTTTTTTTTTTTTGTTATAGTTGTTCATATAAACATGTCTGCTGACTGTTTTCTTCAGAGCTTTAAAAGTTTAAAACGTCTTCTTTCACTGTTCTGCTGATGAACTGGCTGTTGCAACGTTGAGGAGGACGCAGGAATGGAACTGAACTGGAGCAGATCCTTGTTTGCAACAGGCTCCATGTTCTAGCAGTGTTTTAGCCAATGTCATCGATGGAGACAGGTAGCAGAGGGGTGGAGGCTTCAGTCCTTTTGTTCTTACCACCATCACTCATCCTGGCCTGGCCCTCAACAAGCTTTTGTTGCTCCTCATCCTCTGGCTCAGCTATGGCTGAAGTTTGGAAAGGCGAGAGGTCTCGACAGTATGTCGTCGGGAAACACGGCACCAGGTGCACCTCACCGCTTTCCTTCATGAGCTGGACGCAGGTGTAGAAATCCTGCGGTGGGTTGCTGGTCGGGTGAAGACTGGGGGCATTGTTGTCAGGGATGCTAGGATGCTCCATTATGCTATAGTCCGTTCCTGGCACATCAGACCTCTGCCACAGGGAAGCAGGACCCAGTAGAGGAGCAAAGACCTCAGTAGGCGACATGCAATAGGGCGACACGCTCTGAACGTATGACGACGAGTTTTGAACCGATAACTGATGCTGGGCAGTGCTAGGCAACTTCTGCTCCCTGTCTGAGACATCGCCAGGGACCCTGCAGTCCTTCGGTGAGGTCAGGTAGATGCTATCGGCGCTCACCTGGTCCCAGACATCAACAGAGTAACTTGGAGGTCTGTAGCTGTGGAAGTTACTGAAGTGATGGTTGATTTCTTCTAGATGCCCCTTCTGGAAAAAAAAAAAGAGGAAGAAAGAGTTAGAAACAGGACACTGGGAGAAACAAAAGAGGTTAAACAAATGCAAAAGCAACTTGAAAATAAATGTGTTCAATGAAAGTAGAAAGAAGGAATAAACAAGAGACTAAAGGAAAAGTTTGGGAGAAAATAAGAGACACAATGACAGAAGGAAATAGACGCTGTACTACAACCCTGAAAGCATCACGTTACCTTCAGGAGCAGCGGGTCGATGCCAATGATTCGTGGCTTGGGAATGGGTGGCAGGAAGTACTCTTTTATTCTGAAGGTGAAAACAAAACCAGGTCATGTCATGCTGCACTTTACGGTGTAACAAGATCTTGTTAGACTAAAAATTCACGAGATTTCCCATAGTGTTGAAAACTCATGAATTGCCCAAATAAACCCAGTCTGATATTGTCTGGGTAAATTATTAGCGATCACTTTAAGCTATTAATGTGGCAGCAGTTTAAACAAATATATCTGGCACTAGGACCATGCGGCACATTACTCAAGCCATATTGAGCAACCTCTGCAGCTACGTGATGAGAAGAAGAGCCTTGTTGTATATTTATTTAAGACAGAACAAACTTAATGCTGAGTTCTTGCTGTGATTTGTTGACTTTATAGCTGAGGAAAAAAAAACTTTTGAAGAGGAAGGCCAGTCAGTGGAGTTTGTAGCAAAGATTTTTTTCTTAAAAATATTGTTAAAATCTTATCTTGTCTCATGGAAAAGGGTCCTGTTACACCTCTAATGACACCATATGAGCAGAGAAAGAGATAAATTGAAGATGAGTAAAAAAAAAAAACAACAACATCTCATGGTAAACCTTAACAGGACATTGCTAGATGCCAATCCCTGCCTCACACTCTAGGGGGCAGAATAAACTCTAAAAATGAATATCCTACCTAAATTTGTATACCTGTTTCAGAATCTGCCAATTACTAAATCCCTCTTTACCAATCTGAACAGCTAGATATCAGCGTTTATTTGGAATAAAAAGCATCCACTGATTGCCAAAATGGTCTTATGTCTGCCCCGCAGACTTGGAGGCATGTTGCTTCCTAACTTCATGCACTGTTATTGGGCAGATAATCTCAGAGCTCTACTATTCTGGTTGGGCAGGGACACCCCTTCTCCTAGTTGGGTGGCCTTGGAAAGGGCCTCAGTTAGATCCAGTTCCCCTCCAGCTATCAACCTAAACTTCTAACCCAATTGTGATCTGAGCGGTTAAGATTTGGAATCAGTTCAGGAGGGCATTTAACTCTACAGTGTTACTGTTTTTGGCACCTGTGTCAAATAGTCATTTGTTTACTCCCTCAGTAGCTGATACAGCTTTTGACACCTGGGTCTTGAGGGGAGTGCATTCACTGTGTGATCTCTATGCTGACGGTAGTTTTGCCTCTTTTAAACAGCTGGTACAGATGTTTAATATTCACAAATCATAGTTTTTTAGATATCTGCAGCTGAGACATTTTGTGTGATTTATATCCTTCGAAACATTATGTGGCTAAGATTTTGGAGTGCAGGTTTGATACAAAGGGGGCCCTTAGCAAGATCTATTCACTGCTCAGTTCATACCATGAGTACAGTTTGGACTAGAGTTGCACTCGGGTCCAAATAATCTGAACTGACCCAGCCCCAGCCCGCAGCCATCATCTCCAAACCCCACTCGATCCAACAAATTAACAGTAATTACAGGTAAGAACCTGAATTCCCCCCACCCCCCCCCCCCCCCCCCCCCCCACCCCCCCACACCCCCCCCCACCCAAAAAAAAAAAAATAAAAAAATGGAAAAACCCAAACCCCCCCCCCCCCCCCCCCCCCCGGCATTTTTTAATTAAGCTTTGACTGCTTATACCATCAACTATTATTAACGGTTGGCCGATGTGCGCAGCTGAGAGGGCAGAAGATCGGAGCTAAGGAGCCGTCAAAGTGCATTAAATGCTTCCCCTGCTTCTGCCTGCATTAGACCCTGCTCTGAAATGTCGGATATTTTGTGATCTCACCTGTTTGGGTCATCGGCCGCGCGTCTGCTGAGTGCAGCGACTGAATGAATGTTTATTTGGGCTGATGGATCACTGGCAGTAATCCATCTGAAACATAACTGAACTTTTTACCTCTTTCAACCGGCCGGTCAGTGCGCAGTCAAATGGCTGCGTGCAGCAGGTGTAGTACGACAAGCCATGTTTGCATATATTAAATCGTTGGCTGCGCGTCCCTGACGCAATAAAAAGCGCAACACTGACCCGGCCCACACATTAAGCATATTATTATGGCCCGGACCGGTCCAAATCCGTGTCGGGCTGGGCTCTGGGTTCGGGTTAGAAATGACGGCTCTAGTTTGGACTCCCTTAAACTGAAATGGGAAACGGACTTGGAGGAATCCATATCAGGCTCAATCTGGAGAAGTATCATTAAGAACATTTATTCATCTTCAATCTGCCTGAGACATGGTGTAATTCAATTCAAGGTGGTGCACTGGCTACACTGGTCCAAAGGCAAGTTTTCAAAGATCAAAGCCAACCTGGACCCCGCATGCAATCATAGCAAAAAAAAACTCCAGCTACACTCTTGCATACATTCTGGACCTGTCCCAAAATGCAGACTTTTTGGCAATCTATTTTTGACACCTTCTCTAGAATATGTGGCAAAACTGTTCACCCATCCCCACTCATGTCACTGTTCAGGGTGGTCCCTGTGGATACGTCCTTCAGCGAGTACGATAAGGATGTGATTGCTTTTGGTTCTCTACTGGCCAGGAGGCTAATTTTATGTAATTGGAAGGACCCACACCCCCCCAGCATATGTACATTGGATAAGGGAGGTGATGTATCATATCCACCTGGAAAAAAAATCAGATGCACCCTCAAAGGTTCTGCAGGAAGATTCTGGTACATCTGGCAGCCATTTGTGTCATTTGGTGAGAACTTGTCAATGCCTGTGTAGATTATTTGTGTATTTATGGCTGGTCCGGTGTGGGAGGGGATTTTTTTTTTTTTCTGTATTCTTTTTTGTTCTGTTTCCTTTGTGTCAAAAAAAAAAGAGAGCAAGAAACCCCAAAAAACTGTACTGGTGTCACACACAATATGTTTGATTTTCCTCAGAGTGTTTGTCTGAAATATTTGTGTGCCTGCAGGCTGGACTCCGAATGTTCACCTCAACATGAGCCATCATAAACCCGCGCACGGTTTAAAGGCTTCGATCAGAGATGACAGATGTCAGGAACACACTCAGCAACACGTCCGACGGTCCAACACAGAGCCGTGCATCGGCTGCAGATCAGAGCAAAAACACTAAAGTAGATCTGAGAGGAAAATCCTGCTCTGACCTTGATGGAGCTCGATCTGCAAACACCAGCTGAAGACTTTTACACACAAACTGAAAAGGCACGAATGGATTTGTTTTTTCCAACTCCTCTTCTGTCAACGAGTTGTTTATAAAGTTATTCACGATGAATGATTTGTTCTGTCCTTCAGAGTTCATCCAGCTCTCAAACTTTTTGAATGCTTATATTTAAAAAAAAAAAAAAAAATCATCACCAGGCTTGTTTTTATTACCCAGTTCAGAAACTCCATCTTATTAAAAGGAAACAGAATGTTCCCGTTTATTAGAGGAGCTACAAACACTCATTATTAATGTATAAATGTCAGCGTTGAAGCAAAAAAACCAAAATAATAAAGATTAAAAAAAATAATTAGCTTTATTCAAGTAACGTGGATTTAAATGTTTGAGATTCTTCTTTAAAGTCAGCGAGTGTTGGTCAGGTCTAAAAACAGAAACAGCCGATTGGTTTTATCTGAACTTAACTGACGCCAAACCCAGTTCTCACTGGATTCACTGGTTCAGAGAAACCCAACGAGCTCCTGAGCAAGAACCTGAGTATTCCTCACCTCCTGCTCTGAGGAAGAACGCCGAAGGCGATGACCACCAGAGCCACGAGTCCAACTGCCACCACCAGAACCAGAACCAGGACTTTACCTGCACAGGTAAACACAGTCTGAGCAGGCAGATGAGATGGATCCAGTCTTTTCTTTGGATTTATACTTTTTTTTTTTTCAGTTAGCCTTTAGTTACTCATAGCTTTTAGATAGTTTTCAGCTACTTTTAGCTTCAGTGTATTGTTTGCTACTTATAGCATTTTAGCTACTTTTAGTTTGTAGCTAGCCTTTTGTCATTTTTAGCTTTTTGCTACCATTTAGCTACTTTTAGCTTTTATCTAGCCATTTGCCGTTTTCAGCTCCAAGTTAACATATTGCTGCTTAACGGATCTCAGCGGATCTTTTTACATTTTATATTTTGCTATTTTTGAGTGTAACTGGGACCCTGTGTACATAATTTCATTCCACCTCATGTACCACATGTGATGGAAATGACAATAAAATTGACTTGAACTTGTCTAAAAAAGTTTTAAGATAGTTTTTAAGACCAAAGTCTTTCGGATGAAAGATGAAAAGTTTGTACTTTTTTATTTATTTATTTTTTACCTGTCCATAGAACCTGATTTATTTTTTTTAGATTTTTCTACCTGGATTATTGAGCATGCATCTTCTCATGCGACTTGAACTTGAACTTTTAGGTAGATTTTTATTACTTTTAGCTCTTTTCTAGCCAGCTGCTGTTTTAAGCTCCCAGTTACCATATTGCTGCTTTTAGCTTTTAACTAGCATTTTGAAACTTTTAGATTTTAGGTAGCTTTTTATTACCTTGAGCTTTTATCTAGCCAGTTGCTGTTTAAGCTCCTAATTACCATATTGTTGCTCTTAGCTTTTAGTTAGCGTTTGCTACTTTTAGCGCCATTTGCTGTTTTAAGCTCCTAGTTCCCATATTGCTGCTTTAAGGTATATTTTAGTTACTTTTAGCTTTTATCCAGCCATTTGCTGTTTTAAGCTACCAGTTGCCATATTGCTGCTTTTAGCTTTTAGCTAGCATTTTGAAACTTTTGGCTTTTAGGTAGCTTATTATTACTTTTTTTTATCTAGCCAGTTGCTGTTATAAGCTCCAGCCATATTGCTGCTTTTAGTTAGCGTTTTAAAACTTTTAGCTGTTAGGTAGCTTCTTATAACTTAAACTTTATCTAGCCAGTTGTTATTTTTAGCTCATAGCTACAATTTGTTATTTCTAGAGACCTTCTTGCTGTATTTAGCTTTTAAGTAGTCTTTTGTTACTTTTAGCTTTTAGCTAGCCTTTTGCTACTTTTTGTTACTATTCAGCCTTTGGCTATTTTTAGCATTTAGCTACAGTTTTGCTACTTTTAGCTTTTATCTAGCTATCTGCTTTTTTTAGCATTAGCTAGTCTTCTGGTTCCTTTATATCAGAGCTACTGTTTTGCCTTTTTTTAAATTTAAGCTAATGATTTGTTTCTTTCAGCTTTTAGCACCTTAGTTTCAGCTTCTTCAGCAGCATTCAGCTGCATCTTAAGATGATGATTACATTTCTCTTGTTAGTTTTGAAACTGTTGCTGTTTTCTCACATCAAACATATAAAATCTAAAGAGTCCTTCAGTCCTTTCTGGTCAAATTCAAGCTACTATGGACACAACATAAGTACAACAGCCCACATACTGTATGAAAGAGCATCCCTGTCGCCATGGAAACCCTGATCGTGGGCGATTACCTGTGGGCGGCCTGTTGGGGATGCTCAGCAGCAGCGTGGAGCTCCATTTGCTCCACAGGTCCGAGTTGTGGGACCGGCACCGAACTCGGACTGCGTATTCCCCGACCCGAAGGCCGAGCAGCTCGACGTGAGGCTCACGCAGAGGATGTTTTAGCTACAAACAAACAAACAAAGAGGGGCTTTAAATAGGAAGTGTTTTAATAAAACAATTTCAGCAAAGTCTCTCTTCTACACTCCTTCCGAATGTTTCTTGTTTACATGTTTGCATGTGTGTTGTTTACTTGTGTGTAAATAAATCCTCATACCTTCCAGTTTTCGGGCTCGGTGACCCGTCTGTACTGCAGCTCATACACCAGAGTGATCCAGCCGTACCGCAGGTCCTCGGGCACCGGGTACGTCCAGGACAGCTGCACGCTGTGGCCCATCTCATCACCGCCGGCGTCTGTCAGCACGTAGGTCAGGTTGACCGGCGCCTCCGTCTCCACTAGTCAGTAAACAAGCACATAAACGAGATGAACAGAAGGAAATCATTATCCTTTCCAGACTGGAACTAATCGCCTCCTCACATGATTACAATCGGTTAACTGTGATATAGCCATGAGAGGAGCATGAGGGGTTTACGCAGAAAAAATACAAACTTATCGTTTCCAGGAAGTAGTCTTATACCTAAACTTTAATGCTAATATAAAACACGCACAAGTCTTGCTGAAATATGCAAGGCCTTCCCTGTAAAGCGCATCATCTAGACGGGAGCAAATGTTCTAAAACCCGAATGTACTTTTCTATGTTGACGACGCCTTTCCAGATGTGTAAGCTGCTCATGCCAGATGCACTAATGCACATTTGATCACATGAGATCCTGCTTTAAAACTTTAGTCTGCAAATGGGCGGGAGGTATGCATACCTTCTGGAGCCGCCCGCTTCCTGTCCTTCTATTCTCTCAGTGACTAAGTTTCAAGGCTTTACTCGTCTTGTTATTCCTCAGTTTAGTCTTTTTTTGTTTTCCTGTTTAGGTTTTTGTAAATTCTGCACTTTATGTTGTGTGTTGTATCACATTTTTGATTGGTTTAGTCATGTTTTTTTTCATATTCCAAGTTGCTAAAACAGAAGGTCTAATAAGAATACAGTGGTAATAAATAAGGTTGTGTGGTCTGTTCTACCTGAATGCTACTGCGGGAACTTGACATTTGGGTGGATTTGCTCAAACATTTTGGAAGTGTGACCTTTATGTAGCTGGTCGCCGCTGCAGCGACTCCTGCTCTGTCCTGATAAGAGCTACAGCCCTGACCAGCTCTGACATCAGAGCATAATAAAAGATCACCACAGCACTGCTGCTCCACGTGCCAGATCTTATATATATACTGTATAAAACATATGCTGTAAAATTAGATCTGGTTTTAAAGGATTTTACGTCCATGCTTTCCTCTGACAAATAGGATTTAAAAACAATCACTTAGTGAAGGAACCTGTGAAATGTTGCATTAAAACAAATGCTTATAGACTCAATATTAAACGCTGGGTCAGATAATGTCCCAGTTTATGTGGAGACACACGGCTCAGATCATATGATTTTAAAACCATCTCGGTTTGATGGACATTAACAAAACAGAATTTAGGGATTTTTTTTTTATGCAGTTTTGTTTCTGTATGATCAGAATCTGAAAGAAGTCGCTGCAGGAAGTGAATAATAATTATAAGAGTCACACATCAAGATGACAGCTGCAGACTGATTATATCTTTACCGCTCTGATGTCACGCTTTTACTGCTCTGACAGCATGTTTTTACTACTACGGCATTGTGTGTCACCCTTAATAATTTAGTGTTTTTACCATTCGGACAGTGTGTTTTAACTTCTTTGATATTGACATTTACTGCTTTGACGTTGTGTTTTTACTACTTTGACACATTTCTAGCTTTGATGTTGTCCTTTTACTACTTTGACTGCTTTGACATTGTGTTTTTTTACTACTGTGATGTTGTGTTTTTACTACGTTGAATGCTTCAATGTTGTGCTTTTACTGCTTTGACACGTTCCGTGCTTGGACATTGTGCTTTTACTACTTTGACTGCTTTGACATGTTTTTTACTACTACTATAGGCATCGCAACCATTATATGTGAAGGGGACATGTCCCCCCCACATTAAAAAAAAATCATTCATTTGGAATGAATGAATATGGAATGTTTAATGTGGAATTAAAGGAAATCTAGGTAAAATGCTGCTTTTTGTACACTAGTGTACACTTTTTTTTAATGCGCGCGCACACATGCGCACACAAACATGCGTGCGCACACACACACCTACACACATCATTGTGTCTCCCCCACATTACGGATGCTTCTGACGCCCTTGACTATGACGATGGGTTTTTACTACTTTGACTGCTTTGATATTGTGTTTTTACTGTGTTGGACGCTTCAATGTTCTGCTTTTACTGCTTTGACATGTTTATTGCTTTGATGTTGTGCTTTTACTGCTTTGATACATTTCCTGCTTTGACATTGTTTTTACTACTTTGAATGCTTTGATGCTGTGTTTTTACTACTTTGACTGTTTTGATGTTGTTTTAGTACTTTGACTGCTTTGACGTTGTTTTTACTACTTTCACTGTTTTGACATTGTGCTTTTACTACTTTGATTACTTTGACTTTGTTTTTCCTACTTTGACTGCTTTGGTGTTGTTTTTACTACTTTGACTGCTTTGACGTTGTTTTTACTACTTTGACTGTTTTGACATTGTGCTTTTCCTACTTTGATTACTTTGACTTTGTTTTTCCTACTTTGACTGCTTTGACGTTGTTTTTACTACTTTGACTGCTTTGACGTTGTTTTTACTACTTTGACTGCTTTGACGTTGTTTTTACTACTTTGACTGCTTTGACA